TCTAAAACAAAGCATTTATATTTTCTCAACAAAGTGGTAATAAAACTTTTAAAGTTTATATGTCCCAAAAGTCTATTTTATTTTTCCTATTTAAGTATTTTGCTTCAGATTTAAACTTTTTTTATTTATAAGATTTTTTCTCTCTATGATACACACATATATTTATATGGTTTATATAAAAGCTAAGAAAGTCTCCAAGTTAATTGGTATGAAATATTCTTATCTTTCTTCTAAACTCCTAACAGTAATACCAGAAAGTTTTTCACCACCCTTGGGATCAGGAAGAAAAATACGTACAGGAAAGAGATGAAGAAGAGAAAAAGAGAAAACCACATGATATAAATCAAACCAATGTTTTCCTAGGGAGTTTTATGGATCATGAGGATCATTTTTCCTGAAATACTTCATTTAAAAAAAAACTTTTCATTCCATTAAGGTTTTCAAATATTGCTTTATACTGTAGAAATGTATATCTTTTGGAGAAAGCCTAACACCATATGGCCACCAGAGCCTCCCATCCAAACACACACATGTGCACACCATGATTTAACGCTGTGTCTGTAGCTGTCACAGAACACCAGTTCTATGGGCACCACCGTTTTGCCTAGTAACTAACATATGTCAGTGTAGACGGAGCACAGCAAAACTTTGAGGCAGTGCACCATCTGAAGCAAATACCCAACACGAACAAAATATGTGGCAACACTGAAACAAACTGTAAACATTTTAAAGGCCATAGTTTGGCCTGTCAGGCCAGAAATGATGGTGGTTGGGATTAGAGTAGATGAAATTAAAATGTAAAAACTAAATGGGTTTGAGAGAAGTTGTGGGGTGGGAGGGAGGTTGAAACAAGTAACACACTCCCTGGAACCTGAGTCCGATGAGGGTTCAAAGACGCTGAGGGAAGAACTTCGAGTAAAGCTCTGCCCAGCCTGGAGGGTCCACCCCACCGAGAAAAGTGTTCAAAGTCCTTTGCAGGATGACATCCCATTCTTGCACTTTTCATTTAATGTATTATATTATATCATGTTAATATTATAATTTATTTTTATATTACATTAGTTTGTATTTATTTTAAATATAACTGTCAAGTTATTTTCTCAGTTGGATGGCATATAGCTCCAAATAGATTTTGAATAAAGTTTTTTGGGTGACATTTTCTGAGCTCCTGCATAGTTAAGTATGTCATTTCCATTGCTTTCATTCATAACAAGTTCACAAACTGACCCTACAAAATAAGATGAGATCACAGCCTTTCTATCTCAGAAATCAGTCACTGTTACTCCATGAGCTTCTGCAGAGAAGTGTAAGGTTATCCTGATTCCAATAAGTAAAAGAAAAAAAAGTTTTTTTCTGCCTAAGTTTTCACTGTTTTTCTTTTAAGCTTTTGCGTTAATTGTTCTTCTCCCGAGAACACTTACAATTATTTGGCAGTTTCCAGCTTTGTGCCCTGAATGTCTAACATCTTCTTTCTCATCATTATAAACTTTTTTCATATTCATCCTCCATATTACTGAGATGATCCCTCAGTGTCAAATTCTTTCTGCTGACTCTGTGGATTTCACTTGGCTGCTACAATTTAAAATTTCTTTTTTTCCCTACATTAGCCTTTTCTTCTTGGCATGCTCACTAAAGGATAAGGGTTCTTTTTTTAAGGCTTTTAAAAATCCTATTCCATAACAAATTCTTATATTCCACTGAGATGACTAGTTGATTTTCCTATATATGTTTTCTGTTTCCCTTTGGGGTTCAGATTGACTTTTTTCCCCATTTTACATTAAATGTTAAAGATTCATTGTTAAAGTTTTTCAAACATGTTCTAATAATGGGAGATTGACACAGAAAAGTAGTTGGAGAAATGAAACTATATATGGAACAGGCTGTTCATCACAGTACCTAGCAAATTTTCAGACTCTCCCAGGTTTCTATATAGTTCGTTTTGTAGGGTTAAAACGGGATTTTCTCCTCTGAGCAATTCCCATTGTGTACTGATAACAGTTCCTGGTTCTGTCCCTTGAGGGAGAACTTTATAATGTGGGGCTACTGCCCACCAGCCCCTTCCATGAGTTTACGATTTTTTTTTGCTACATATGCACAGCCAAAAGAGATACAGAGAAGCAAGAGAACGGGATGAGTGGAAGGCACTCAGTGTGTTAAAAAGTAATACAATAATAATTATGGCGGCTATGCTTACTAATATTCAGTAGCTTAGTGCCCGCTTTCTCCTTGTCTCCTACCCGTCATTCCCCCGGGACTGAGAGTGAAAGGAGAGAAGGAAGAGTAGGGGCAGGAGTGGGGGTGCAGGGAGGAGCTGGGGAGCACCCTGGGGAGAATGCAGGAGTAGAAGGCCAGCCGTTGGGCCTTTGTGGGACTTCTAACCTGATGACAAAGGACAGATTGTGGCAGCAGGAAGGATCCTGATCTTCACTATCTTTCCCACTAGCTTGCTGTATCTTTAGATGAAATAGCATTAGTGGTCTATCAACTAATATTTTCAACTCTAAAATATTACCCTAAAGATTAGTCATTATGTTGTATATAGAATTATGTTAATAATAGTCTAGTGTTTTGTGCAAACTCACCATTCCCCACTGTCTGTCTTTATAGATGTCTCAGTGGGAATTTAGAACTGCTAAGTTAGATGCAATTCCAAGTCCACTTTATAAGGCGAGGCTTAGCCTTAACTTCTTAAATCTGCTTTCTCGGGCAACTCTTCTTCTGTGGTTCTCTGCTAAAATGAAGGTGCTAGGTTCTCCCTGACACCTCTAACTCAGCTTGTCTGTCAGTCCTTCCTTATTCTATGAGCCCTGTGAGGAGCATTCATTCTCTCCGTCCCTTCTGTATAAAATGGGACCTTTGCATGACTCTAGTTGGAGTGGTTCTTAGTGTCTGAGAGTCTAGAAAACGTCAATGTTGAGGATGACAATTCTTTTATGACTTCGAAGATCCAAACTTCGTTCTCCTTTGCTCTAACACATAAGCTTTCTTATCCTTCCTGGGATTCGTTTTGTCTACCAGTTACTCTTCGAGTGAGCTACAGACAGGGACAGTATTGAATAATTTGGCTCATATGAATTTATTCTTGCAGTCTGCTCCTGTAAGTAGTCTGTTTGGGTTCCTATACCTTTTACAGCCTCGCTGGGCTTGACTCAGTGACTGTTGTCTGGTTTCTGTGGCTTGCTCCTCCTCACTCTGTTACACCTCAAATATCCAACTCCTTGTCCCTCTTTCCATCTTTATTTCCCTGTATCCACCCAGTTTTCTTATAATCCAGCTTGCTGTCTGATTTCCCTAAAGCCCAGGACCTGTTTTCTTTTTCTTTTCTCACTACTTGGATATATAGTATTTGTAGTCATTCCTACCATCACAAATATAGCCATGTACCACTTAATGAGAGGGTTGCATTCTGAGAAATGTCTCATTGAGTGATTTGCTCATTGTGCAAACATCATAGAATGTATTTCCCCAACTATTTCCGCTGAGTGGCACAGCCTTCTACACACCTAGGCTCCTGGTCTAGCCTATTGTTCATGGGCCACAAGCCCAGGCAGCACATTACTGCACAAAACAACACAAGATTACATCAAGCACAAGAGAATATGATGCAACTGAGAGACACAGTAAACAAGAGATGTATGAGGTTGCTTTGGGCATAACGTGGCATATACTGTTTTGCAGCAAAAAAAAAAAATGTTAATGAGTAGGAAGAGTACACTTTTAAAATGAAAGTAGAAAGTATAATATAATAAAGATATAAACTAGTAGCATAGTCATTTATTATCATTGTCAAGTATTATGGACGGAACACGATTTTCTACGCTGCGCTTTCACAGGACTGGCAGCAGAGAGCACCTGTTTAAACCAGCATCACCACAAATGTGTGAGCAAGGCCTTGTGCTGGTGTAACATTCTGACTGCTGCGCCACCACCAGGCAACAGAAAGTTTTCAGCTCCATTGTAACCTTGTGGGGCCCAGTTGTGCATGAGGTCCCTCACTGACTGGCACGCGCTGAGGCTCACGATGAGCAGCTGTGCCCCGCCTCATCCACGGTGTGCTCACCGGTCTATGCCAGTACAGCATCGGACTGTAGGGTCTACCGAAGGGATATGACACTCTAAAAGTACCTTGACGTACTAATGGCGCATAGGCAGGAATCCAAATTTTGGACATTTCACCCTCTGTTGTGTATTTCAGCAATTAAAAAAAATGTTAACGACTAAAAATACTGGCTAATTTTCTGAGATTTAGGGCCTTAATAGTGTTCAGCATAATATAGTATTCAGCATTTTTAAAGTCACTAGAGGTATAAAAAGCAGAGAAACAAATTGATTAGTCACGGCTCAGAGAAATTCTCATCGACGGCCAGCTCTCACATTCCCCTGTTATTATAGCGATGGACTTAATTTTGTTGTACAAAAATACTGCCCATTCACAGGGCATACTTTATCAATCAACTCATAGAGTTTTCAGACCAAAAAATATGTGACAGTCTTCTTACAGATGAGTAATCCAAAGAAGAGTCGAGTAGGAATTTCTTACAGAAGCAGTTACCAAAAACAGATGAGGAAACGACACAGGGATTATTGGTGAGGCCAGAGCTCAGGTTATTGGCTAGACTTCAAGCTATTTAATAGGAACATAACGCAAACCACAAAGGAGAGTCACATATGTTACCAAAATTTTTTCTTGTGGTCATATTTAAAAAGTAAAAAAATAGCAGGTGGCATTAATAATATTCTTATTTAATCCCAGTTATGAAATCAGTCTTTTTTGTTTGTTTGTTTCTTTAGGTGCCAGAACTCAAAATCTGGTGTGTATTGAACACTTACATAACATCTCAAATTAGACTCGATCCATTTTTAAGTGATTCATAGCCTCACAGGGCTAATGGCCACCACTCTGGACAGGGCAGGCCCAGAGTTTTATGTTACCACCATACTTGAAGAAAAAGTGGTTTGTAGAAAAAATAAATAACTCATGTGAGAGGTGATTCCCTTACCTACACAGGTCTTCCTTTATGTGCAGAGAGATCAGTTCCCTGGGAACGTGGAAAGACAGCGCGCTCTCCGACATCTGCTCCCGGACCCGCATCCACTTATTGTCAGATGTGGGAAACCTGTACAACTTGCACACCGGGTTCTTCAACACTGAGGGAGAAAGAGACCTCAGTGGTTAGATGAGAGGGACACACACAGTAGATGAAGATCAACTGCAAAGTCATTAATCAGGGTACCTTCTAATTATGTATTCAACTAAAATGGTGTGGGCTTTTTAAAATCATAATCCATTAGTGTATTTGAATTCCTAAGTATTTTGTTCTTACATCTTGTTTTTTCAGTAGCTTCTAGGACATATAGTCTTCATTAAATTTTAAAAAAACAAAAGCAAACTTATAAATATGACTACTGTTCTCCAATTTATCACATACTGATTCTTTCTCTTCTAGAAATTTCCTTAAAGCACAAGTTTATATGAATATAGATGAAAATATATGTATTTTTATAATAATACACACTTTGAAAAATACATATGCCTGAATTTCTTCCAGTTGCTCTGAGTCAATTTTATGCACTTTTATAGTAGGTGACAAGTGATCATTTTTTCAGAGGCTTTGCATGACCCTACTCCTAAAAATTATTTATTTCTTAAATATCAGGGAAGTTATTCCTAGGCTTACAATCTATTAAAATTCAAACATCATATATACTTTAGAGGCCATGGATCAATAACACACTTCCCTGAAACCACATGTTATCAGAAGCAAGATAAGGAGATGCTGTACAAACCTCACTCGTGGTGGGCAGGCAGTGATTAGGGGATAAGTGACAAGGTCGTGCCATCAAGAGCTTTAACAATTTAAAGCAAATGTACAGGGCCAGGTATTAAGATAACACTTGGTTCTATTTCTGTGTGAGGCCAGCACTCCTACCACATCCCCACACGTATATTTTGGGACAGAATATTATTTCTATTTCTGTTGGGCATGAAAGTCTCATACATGAAAGCTTAATGTGTGATAAAATATTAGGTCAGTCAACAGTCAATTACCTATGATTACGTGTTTCTAATTTACCAGTAAAGCTGATCAGAAACAGAATTTGGCACTGAAATGAATGAAAGGCTGTAATGATACTGAGCACAGTATGTGAGCCAAGTCTCCTCAATGTATAAGGTAAAAAGCCTTTCAAAATTTTAGGGTTCTACAACATCCTATCTCATTCCCGACTTGGGTAAACACACAGTATTTTTCTGAACATTAAAATGAGGATCTATTCGTCCATTTCTCTGCAACTATTCATTTTCAGAGGTACAGTTTTGGGAAATTATCATTATCAGTATTGATACTATATCAGAAATCTTGATTTCAAATATCCCATTCTTCAATGCCCAGATTCAAAGCTTCCAGGGCACTTCCCTACCACCTACTAAGGATTAGCCAGAGTGTTTATTTTTCAAAAGTGCCAACAGAAGCCATAAAACATTGAATAGAATATTTCCAATCTATTCATAGACAATACTTGACATCTAAAGTTTTATGATCACATTTAAAATCATATGACCATATTTAACATAAATATAGAATGTACATTTTATCAATTAGATTATATCACAGATTCATATATATAGTTAATGATATTTAGTTTCTTTTTATTGAAATATAATTGATATATACCACTATATTAATTTCAAGCATGCAATGTAATGATTCAACAGTTGAATACATTGTGATATGATCATGAGAAGTCTGGTTACCATTTATTGCTATACGTAGTTACACATTTTTTCCCTCATGATGAGAACTTTAAAAATCTACTCTGTTAGCAACTCTCAAACATGTAATACAGTACTATTCATCATAGTCACCATGGTGTGCATTATGTCCTCCTGACTTATTTATTTTATTATTGGATATTTGTACACTTTAACCCCCTTAACTCTTTATCCCCAACCCCTTGTCAACCACCAATTTGTTCTTTGTGGCTCTGAGTTCTCTTTTTTTCTTGTTTGCGTTATTTCTGGGTTTATTTGTTTGTTTTTTAGATTCCATATGTAAGTGAGCTCACACAGTACTTGTCTTTCTCTGTCTGTTTTATGTCACTTAGCATAGTGACCTCAGGGTCCATCTGTTTTGTTACCAGTGGCAAGACTTCATTCTCTTCAATGGCTGAGTAACATTTCATTGTATGTAAGTAAGTACCACATCTTCTTTATCTGTTAAATAACTAATGGACACCTGGGTTGTTTCCATGTCTTGGTGATTAAAAACAATGCTGCAGTCAACATGGGGTGCATATATCTTTTTGAATTAGCATTTTCATTTTCTTTGGATAAATACCCAGAAGTGGAATTGCTGAATCATATGGGAGTTCTATTTTTAATTTTTTTGAGGAGACTCCACACTATTTTCTATAACGTCTGCACCAATTTACATTTCCACCAATAGTGAACAAGGGTTCTCTACATCCTTGCCAACACTTGCTATTTCTTGTCTTTTTGATAATGGCCATCCTAACAGATGTGAAGTGATGTCCTATAGTGATTTTGATCTATATTTCCCTGATGCTTAGTGATGCTTAGTATGATTTCATGCATCTGTTGGCCATTTGCATGTTTTATTATATTTTTTAAAATATCTATTAAGATACTCTATGCACTTTTTTTGGATTATTTGTTTCTTTTGCTATGGATTTGTATAAGTTCTCTATATATTTTGAATATTAGACCTTATTAGATATATTTTCTTTCATTTGAAACATAAAAACTTACAGCAAGTCAATGAAAAACTGTATTTCATTCATTTTTAATCTGACAATGTTCCAAAGCTATAAGAATTTTATTATAACATTTATTGTCATATCTCTAGAGTTGGAGAAGAAAAAAAGTATATTTTGGATTCAACAAAGTGTCAGTCAGATTAAACCACTCACAAGATGTTTTAAATTCCAATATAGTAAACATGATCAGGAGTACAAATGTATCCTTTTATAGTAAGACAAAAACTCCATCTCCAAATTGTCCAAATATTTTCTTACTAAGCTAAATAAATATTCAACTTCTTGGCTTATCTATATTCAGTATACATGCTACCTTCTTAACCTATATTTTAAGAGTAAACAAAATCACTGTTTCCTTCAAACCTTGGTTAAAAATATTTGGATTTTTCTTCCATTTTATAAAACAATAATTATATTTAGAAAGTTTATACTTTGAATTAATTAACAAATTCTAAAATTCTTCATTTTCTGTTATCACAAAACGAGTGCTACGACTTTTGATTTTACTGTGTTTTTTTTTTTGTTTTAATGTTCCTCATTGCATTCTAAATAGAAACCTTTGTTGAAATAGCTTAAGCAGAAATCAAAGAAATCAAGAGCAATTTAATTAATGATCTCTGGAACCCTCCTAGTACACAACATCAAGGATTCTATAGAAACACAGCTGTTTTTACTGGAAACTCCTGGGGTGAATAATTGAAAGTATCAACTTGATCATTAAAAAAAATCCCAATAATGTCTTCTATCTGACTTGTATAACACAATTCTGATCTTGTGAAACACACAGGTCTCTGAGCACTCAATTTCACCTATTCATCAGGATCTCAATATTGATATAGTGTGATCCACTTTAAACCTAATTCAGTCCAGTAGGATTTCTTACTGAACACCTACTATGCATAAAGTAATAACACCTACTCTGTATCTTAAAGTATCATAGAATGGCATGTGACTTAAAAAATAAAAAAACTCTGTCCTGACTTATAACTCCCACGCACATTTGTTGCACTGGTTACAAAAATGACCAGGTAACATGTTTCCAATTCAAAATTCTTGTTGGTTTGGTAGTGGGGAGATTCTGTCATCATTACACCAAAAAAAGTATGGTATTCCTGCATCAAATATTGAACAGTGGGTCATAAATGATGAATTTTTTGTCATTTTTTTAAAGCTTCTTCCCTGCAGCAGAGATAAAATTTTGACAGGTCTGCACATGCTCTCTGGCTGTGTGAATGAGTCTCTCATGTTCACCTCTGACTATCTACAGATGCCTCAAGTCATTGCCGGGGTCTTCCAGACAAGAAGAAGCTAAAGGGCTTCATCACCACCAAACCAGTGCAACGTGAAATGTTAAAGGGCCTTCTTTAAGAAGAAGAAAAAAAGATTAAAACTATGAATGATAAAGTGGGAATAAACACACATCTATCAAAAAATTGAATCTGAAAAAACAAAGTAAATGAGGAAACAGAACAGAAACAGACTCACTGATACAGAGAACATTCTGACAGTTGCCAGATGAGAGGAGGTTGGGGGTGGTGAAAAAAGTGAAGGGAATACAGGTAGTTACAAAATTGTCACAGGGATATAAAATACAGCCTAGGGGATATAGTCAGTAATATTCTAACAACTCTGTATGGTGTCAGAGGGGTAGAAGATTTACTGGAATGATCACATAGAAAGTTATATAATGTATAGTTGCCAGGGCATACACCTCAAGCTAATATAATATTGTATGTGACATGTAATTGAAAAATAAAAATGACTTTTTAAAAAGATGCATTTCTTTCTTTTTTTATTATTGTTTAATTATAATTGTCCCCATTTTTCCCCTATTACTTTCCCCTGCCCTACCCATCCCCCACCTCCTACATTTAGTCTGCCTCCCCCCACTGTCTTTGTCCATGGGTCCTTTATACATTTTCCTCGACTTGACCCTTCCCCTTCTTTCCCCCATTATGCCCCTCTCTCTTTTTCTCTGGTCACTGTCAGTTTGTTCTTTATTTCCACCATATAATAGGCTCAATCCAGCAATAATATCTATCCAACATCTATTATAAGTTCTTTTTAAAGAGAGTCCTGTGTGTGTTCTCTTTATTTGTTTCACTGCTTTTGCTAAAACAATGACCAAAAAAAAAAATATCACGTGACAGATTCTACCCAGAGAAAAGCAGCAGAGATGTTCTGGACCACATCGTGGCCTTGTGATGGCTGAATGGGGGTCAAGTTCTGCGCTGGAACAGAAAGTGATACATCCCTTGCATCCAGCACATCGGACGAATGAGCACAGAGACAGAGAGTAAATGACAGATTTCCCCCCAAATTGAAGCACAACTCCATTTTCGGTATTATTTCTCCCAGACACAGTGACAAGA